ACTGATTACTATAATTTGCTTTTTTTTGTTAATAAAGTAACCAAGCATGCAATGTATTTCTGATAACAGAAATATTAATATTTCTAGATCAAGCCTCAGCACTACTGAGTCCAAAACACAAAAGGCATCATGCATCAGAGCAGCCTGGCCTGTTGGCAAGTACGATGAAATGCCTTCCTAGTGGAAAATGTTGTGTCATTTGTAGCAAAGCAAAGTCATTCATTAGAAATGCATTTTGTCTGACTTAGCCCATGGAGGGCTCTGTCGGTGTTTCCTGTGGATGTCCATGGTGCTACCACCAGTCTCTCCTGCAGTGTGTGTGGGAATTTGGCTCTGGTCAGCATCACCATGTGGGCTGGGGATTCCCCAACCAGTGGGACACACTTCCAAGTGTTGACCACTCAGTTCTTCCAACACCACTGTTCCAAGCAGACAACAGGCCAGCCCAGCAGCAGATGCTTCCTCAGCTGCAGTGGTGAGAGCATCCTGAAACCCAGCAAGCTGGTGACAGACCTGCCAGCCATGGAGGTGACTCTCTTGGAAACAGAACTCCAGAGCTTCAATTGTCTTCACAAAATATCTGTGTTATTTCCCTCTTCAACCACAAAGGAAGAGAATTTAGTAACATCCTGAGCAGCAAACAAGTTCAGGTGCTAAGCACTATGCCTTGCCTACAAGGAGCTTTGATATCTGGTTCAGAGCCAAATATAGTGGTGGCTTTGCTCAGGGTGTGGCAGGAAAAGAATTAAGAAACAGAGAGCAAGCCCATAGTTAAAGAACATCTCTTCAGCTCGTAAGTCACATTCACTTCTGTTTTTTTCTTCATCCTTGTCTCCCCTTCCCCTCTTATGTTGCAGTTGTGCTGAAAAATGGTGCATGTCTTGGAGAAGGAATCAGAAGTCATTTTAAGTTCATTTGTTTAAGGTCTTTGCCTGTTTAGTATATCAGGCACGGGCTTCGGAAGAAATATTCATGAAAAACCACAGTACAAACCCACAATACCCAGCTTAACTATAAGTGAATGATTTAATACCTGTCGATCTCAAATGGCAGGAAGTGTTGTATTGTGTCTTAAACAACCTTGAACCACTAATCATAACAATATCAAACTTGCTTAGTTAATTTATTTGATATCCTTCAGTAGGTATCTGTGCACTGTTGAGTTAGCATTTTACTGTGTAACTCATACATACACCCAGAAATTTAAAAGCTAATCTGAGGAATACCAATATCTGTTTAACCCTCTCATATCTTTCTTGCACAATTTTCAAAACACTTCTTTCTTATGCTAAGTAAAGCCAAAATTTTCCGGCATCTATGAATTCTGGGTTCTTAGTTGCTAGTAAACAGGACTCACTTTACACATGCAGACTGCAACACTTCTAGAGATTTTCAGCATGAGCCAATAAGGCACTAAAAATCTGCTCTAGCAAGACCTGTGTGCAACCACAGACTGAGATCTAGCATGAGTTAGATTTGCCCCATGGTCAGCTTGCAATATCTAAATGGCTATGCCCAGAATATTAATGCCTGCTTTTCTCATTCAGACAGCATTCTTAAAAACAAAACAACAAAAAAAAAAAAAAAGAAAAGGTAGAATAGTATTTGTTTTACTCCTATGTCAGCCAGCCTGCAAGTTTGCACCCCAAGCTATTTCATGTTATAATAAAGATGATGGGAGTCTACAGAGGTCTATTTAAGGTCTCACTCTTAAATAGATCCGTATTGAGGAAGTCCCTCTGCAAATAAGGAGCTAGCAGTGTTTGTTGTATAGAAAGTCTCTGAAGCAACCTTTTTATAGTATTTCTCAAAAAAGGGAAGATTGACAGAGACATGTCAAGTGCATGAAGGTACAAGCTTAACATCCAGCACAGCAAAGAAATAACCACCTCTGTCCTTCAGATGTCAATAAGTGAACAGCTGGTGAAATTAAAATTCATTGAGATCACTGGCTGAAACAGACCAAGCTTGTAAGAAGGTTTCAGAAGGCCTCCTGACCTAGACCAAGTTCATAGGTTCCCAAATGCACACTCAACACGCATGCATGCTGTTGTGAGCCAGCTGAAGGCAGCAGGGACTTCAGTTTACTCTGAGACTAAGAGGACATTAAAATAATTAGTTTGATGATGACAAAAGCTGTTACAAACACCAGTGGTTGAAAAAAAGCAACAGTTTTGTGCAAGTTGTGCATCCAGATAAAGAAATCTGCTGTTGTGCTCTAAATGACACTTGAATTATCATGGAAGATGCACACTCAAAAGCTGGATCAAAATTTTATCCCATCTGTTTTCTTCAGGACTAATGTTATCAACAGCAAACCCCGATGAACAACCAAAGCATCTTCATAGGGATGGTATCCATCAATACCAGCTTCTATCTTTGTAGTGCTAAGAACTAGGTTTTGATGTATTCATGTGGAAGTCTTAGGAGAAAAGTGAAGTGTAGAGACTTAGCTAGAGCTCAAGTGTTGCTGTGCTTTGTCTTTAAGAGATCAGCCCAAACAACACCTAAACACAATTAGGATACATTCTGTACAAAATGCCGTGTTTCAGATTTTTAATTAAAACTACACCTAAGCACTAACAGACTTCCCCAGTATCAAGAGATAGCTTTCATCAGCATGCAGGCTTTAAGAACTCATTAAATGGTTAGCAACTCACACTGATTGAGCTGACGCAGCACAAAGGTATAAAAAAAAAGTAATGAAAAACAGGCAAGTATCAGAATTACACATTGTGAGCATAAAAAAAAAAAAAATTAGAAGATGCTGCCTATAACCCACTAAGTCGCATGTGAAACGGGCCATAATAAAACAGTTCACACTGCTCAAAATCTGTGGGACCGCTTAGCAGAGAAGAAGACTGAATCCTCTGAGCAGCATAGTAAAAAAAAAGTAAAAGCCATCCTCACTACAGCACTAGAGGTCATGATGGGTGCTTCATCTGACTTGTATGGAGTACTACTTTTTAGAGCTTTGCCTAAAGCTCAGCATTGCAAAGGAGCAATAACTTCTGGGACCAGAACTAGATAGAGAAATCCAAACCAGAACAAAGTAGAGTTGTTTTAGTTAAGCTAGCACCATGTCTGAGATTGTAGTGTTGTGCTACCAAAAAACTGGGACAAGAATCTAAATGTGTCTCTGTCACCATTTTAGTTTCTGGTTCCTACCTTGCTTCAGGTAGGGAGGAACATGCACAAGACCATCGTCTGGTACAGATGTCATAATTGTTACCTTGGGAATCCCAGCCCCAGTGAAAGGGTCATACAACCATGATTGGATCAGAAAAAAAATGGAGTATCTCTCCCCAGCTAGGGTATCTCTTGTATCAAAACAAAAGGAAATTTCTACAACAAATGCTGCCAAAAAGGCTAAGATTTTTATAATTCAATATCAGTGTACAGTAGGAGCTTTAAAATACAGAGAGTGCTTCAGCTGTTTACTGTATTTGGAAAGAAAATGAACAAATGTACATTACAGATGTAATTTGATTGAGAGGTACAGTGAATGAGAGATGTCGCATTTTCTTTGAACACAGAGAGGTAAATTGCAGGGAAGGGAGAAATAAAGAAAAATAACTCTAAGAATTCAAACTACCTTACCAAATCTCACAGCTTTGTGGAAAATGCATTTCAAATTACTCTAAGACATTGCAGCAGTAACATAAAAACGACTACAAACACAGCCCAGAAAGAGAACATGTTCTTTTTATATAATTTCCCGGTCTGTGCTGATTTGTATATGCAGGCAGGACAGATATTTTTCTCCAAAAATTACAGAAATTTTGAAATGTAATCTTACAACACTACACTAAAATCTCTCTCCAATTAGCATGCATGATTTCAAAATGAGCTTCCAGCCACATGTGATACCTTTCAATTGTGATCCATATTTCCAAAGGAAAAACAAGTTCTTTCTTACGGTAAGGCTATCGGTTACAAACATGAGTGCATGTCACAAAGTTTGCAGCAAACTACAAATTACCAGGAAAACAAATCTTCACCATAGAACAAATACTGCTAATTTTGTCTTTCCTTTACATGGCACATATCAAAGCATTGTATCGTGTTATTTGAACATCCTTCTACATTACTATTTCCTTGTAAAGTTCTGAAGGCCAGAAAGCAGTGTTTGCCTACTGACAGCAATGAAAAGTGACTTTTTCTGATAGAAAACTTTGAGTAAGATGGGGACTCAGGACACAGCCTTTTTCTGCCTAGCTCTGAAGGAGAGGAGGAAATAGTCTAGAAATGAACAGCCTCATGCAGGAACTGTGCTACCATGATAACCTTCTTTGAACAGCTCCACGAGGAACAGCACTGAGAGTACTCATAAATAAAACAAGGATGTTTTCTGTACAATATCATTTATGACACCCCATGTCCAATTCGTATTAGCACCACTGAAAAAGTGGTACAAAACTTTTTGACATAGAGCAGGGAAGAGATCCCTCTGTTGATCTCTTCTGTCTCTAATATTGAGTATCAAACAGATACCTATCCTTCCCACTCACTGACTCTTATAGTATCCTTTTCTACTAATCACTTCCCTCACAGCAACCAGCAGCAGAGGAAGTCAGTTAATCAAACAGTGCTGAACTGCAGCTGCCAAAGGCAAATGTTAGGAAAAGTGATCTAATCTAATTTTCCAGCCAGTGCTATCAGCCTTTACTACCTTCTGAGGACAACTAGTTAGTACCATAGGGATATGAGAAGTCATTAGTGGTTTGGGATACTAGAGAGGGTCAGATACAGTTGCCTCTTGCACAGGATGAAGCAGACTTGCTAGATTCTGAATATTAATATTGCCTTTAAAACATCGTTCCACATCTATACTCTCTACTTTTATGTTCATTGCTTTCAAATTCAAAAATGCCAATAGAAATAACTGTGTAAGTAGCAAAATCCATATTGAATGCATACAAAACACCTGCAATTATGATCATTTTAAAGTCTTTAACAGGCTTTCTGAACTGCATCAAGACAAATTTAAGGCCCCTTACCTACAGCCACATGGACGTCGTCATTTCATCTCAAACTGCCATCAACCAGCAACAGTTTAAACTATTTCAAAAAACGGAAAACATCTAGGTCACATGTCTATAGACAGCATTTGGGTTAATCTCCCACAGCTTATAAAGACAGAAAGAAAGCAAGAAAAAAAAAAAAGTAAAATAAAACCACTTCCTGAAACGGCAGAAGTGAACCATCTCACCAGTGAGTGACTTACACCCAGGTTTAGTGCAAAATTCTTCCGGACTATATGAAAAGTCAAATTTTAAAGTAGGAAAGCAGCTTCTCTGTTAAAATTGCAATAAACAGAGAAAGATAGTTTTAGCAGAAGGTAAACATGAGTTTTGAAAAGAAATGCTGAAAGGAATTACGATTCTAAGCCTCAAGGCTACTTCCCCTTTCTTACCTCAATGGAACTCTTTGAGCACTGAATAGCTTGCAAAACTCTTTGTTGTTTTGAAATATTGCTTTACTAAATGGGACACCACACTGTTACTTTAGGTTTATAAAATAGCAAATTCTGGCCAATCAAAGAAATTTACTATTAAAAACCCCTGACCTGTGCTATTGCCCAGTGAAGGCTGCCCAGATAGATACTTCTGTTTCTTTGGTTTTCTGTTTCAACACTTCTCCATGAAGCAACCCCTGGAGAATCACAGGCAGACACAGCTGCTGCCTCACTTCACTTCCCGCAGCATCTCACACTACAATGGTCCACCTCAGGTATGGGGAACCCAGAGAACCATCAGGCTCAGGTGCAGCTCCGCACCTCTGGGGCTCCAGAAAAGCAGTCTCCTTGCATACACCTTCACCAGTGTCTTCCTCCATCTTTTTTTTTTTTTTTTTTTTCTTTCCAGGTAGCAGCAATAGTATCTTTCCAGTATTTCTAACTTGAATTACAAAACAAGGGCTCATCTTCCCAATGTAGCAGGAGTTCCCTTTCAGGCCAAGGTGGTGTGTTGTGTGTATGAGAACCATCACAGTGCTGATCAGGCTGCCAAGCCTTCTGTTGGTGTTTGAGCAGAATAGGGGGATCTCTTTTTGGTTGTCTCCCACAATAAAAAAGGCATCCTGAAAAATGGATAAAAATCAAAGCCATCCTGGTGTTTAAAGATTTGTCTCAACAGTGAAGTAAAATGAACCTTATTGACAGAGGGTGCCAATGGTGTTCCTTAAGAAGATATGCCCCATCAGTGCAGATGGCAGCAAGAAAATCTTCAGGTGTCTTAAAGGAGGATCTGGCAGAACGTCCCATGGAGAAAGAGCAGAGGCAGTTAGAAAACAAAAGCTGGGGCTGAGGCTGGATTGGAGCTTAGGAAGGGATTGTGACAAATTTTACAAGGCTGCAAAGGGAAGACTGATTTGCAGGCAGATCATTTCCTAGTGCAGAGAAAGAAAAAAAAAAAAGAAAAAGATGTAAGAAAGTTCCTTTAGAGAACAGCTTTAGTACTGTTCATGCACTTACTGAAGCCCATGGGAAACAAGACCTTCAGAGGAACATGGCACTGCTGAGGGAATGGCAGAGCTATTAAGCTGTAGAGTGACCCTTACGTTATTATTATTGATTTTGTAGTAACTTCTACAACCTTCATTTCATGGCCAAAGATCCAATTATGCTAAAAGCCATACAAAGCCAGAACCAAGACCATCCTTGTTCCCAAACTTTTACTATGTATGCCAAGAGACATGTACAGACAGAAGAGCTAAACTAAAATAAATAAATAAACTTAATAACAAACTAAACTAAATATCACTTCTTTGTAGGCACTGAATTTTATCGATGTAATTTAAAGATGAACTTTTGGAACAAAAAGTGAATGTTGCATATGAATGGTGATAAGTTGTTTCTCTCAGGTGTGAGAAAGCTATGCTGTGCTTTTCTATAAATTAGCAACTGCTAGGGCTTAAACAACCTGCAGCAGCACTAAGTAATTGCTAGCTCTTTTAAAGAGACATATATATTTCAAGTAATTTTGTTATATAGAATAAATTTTAATTGATAAATCTACTGTAGCCATGTGGTCTTCAGATCTTCAAACAAAATAGTCAAAAAAAATTTTACAATTACGAAATATATGTGAATGGTGTGACCAACAGAACTTCAACACTAGAATGTGAAGAAGCCATCAGCAAACCTGTAAAATACTGCAGTTGAACTTGCAATTTGCCTACGTTACCTTGTCCAAAACCTAGATTATCAGAGATGTGACATTTTTCACAAAAATGTCTTTCACTGTACACCTAACATTTCATGTCAAATTGCATACTCTGTCTGATTTCCTTTGCATCCATTTGACAGTATGTCAGTAGTGACAAAATTCTATAAAAGGATGATGGCAGCTTTGCATATTGCTTAAACTTATGCAGCACAAGCTTCCTGTGCAATCTCTGTAAAGCTGAAAATACTTTAGATGTGCAAAATAACCATTTTAGTAAAATCTAAGAGCTCATTTAATCTGAGTAAAACTAAACAGGAAGCAGAAGACACATAGACGTTACCTGGAACAGATTGCTGCTCAGCAGGTTGGTCTTTGAATGTTTGCTGTGCAAGTTAAAGATGGAGCATCATTTCTGAAGCTCAGATTTCTCATCCCTATTTCAGTGACTCATGGCGTCATTGCTTATGAGGCATGTCATCAAGTTGGTGAGCATCCAGATTTCCACATCTCACAACTGAGAGCACAGAGCATTAAGGCTAAACCAGCAGTTTTAAAAATCACTGTTGACTGAGGGTGCTGAACGCCCAGCAGCTGTTACCAACTCTCTTATAAAAAATTCAAGAAGTATCATAAGTTTCATCAAGTGCATAAACAGTGATTCCACATCTTGTTCTGGACCACCAGTCCCCAAGGGGGAAAGAAAACTTTACTTTTTTTCTTTTTGCCTTGTTCAGCTTTTACTCTCTGTTGGGATAACTGACAGGCAGCTCATAGTCTGGCTTGTACAGCTGACACCCAGTGGCAAATCTAATTCAGTGGGTAAATCAAGCCATAACAGACAATACAAACCTGGACAGCATGCAGACACAAGCCTGGAAGAACAATTGTACATCCAATGGCTAGTTCCAGAAGAAAATATTTTTTTATTAATGAAAATGGATGAAGATCCAAAACTTTGCAATTCATTGGAAAACAAAACAAAACAAAAAAAAACCAGAACAGAGAATCCAGAAGACTGTAATAATGAAGAAATAATGTATAATTGCCCACATTCCTCACCACAGAAAATTTATTTTTCATATTTTTAATATTTTCATATTAAAAATATTTTTCATATTTAATATTTTCATATTAAAAAAGGAGGACAAAGAATTATGTCTGTATGGACAGTAATTCATACTCTTGTTCAGAGCAGTTGTTTGCTCAGAGAACTCATGTCCAGTCAGTAGCCATTCTCTTTTGCTATATGGGCTTTGAATATTTAATCCCAGGAAAACATTTCTAGGAGCTCATTCTTGTGTATCAAGAAAGCCATGCACATGGCCAGGTAACATCTCAAATAGCTTACAGCCCAAGTTAACAACAGTCTCTAATATCACCTGCTTGGGCAATAACCGGTTTTTATGTGGGAGCTTGTATGTAAATGTCAGCCTCAGTATACAGTAATAACTAAATTTACCAACCTCTCTCAACCATAAGACACATTACAAATATTCTGATATCGCCTTCCAAAACATTTTACTCTCAATTGATTTTCACCCTAAAAAAAAAAATAATCCATTTTACTTACTGCAATTTTAAAAATGCAAAGGATACATTTTTTTTAATTTTCAGACATGATAGAAAATAGACCTTTAGAGATTCTTCAGCAGTAATGTTGGATAACATAAGAGGACACTAAAGTTAATAACAACAACTAGGTATGAAAGTTCTATGTAAATCCAAACTGGTCCTTTTTTCTCTTTTTCCCAAGTGTTTTAAGAATCTTGACACTTATTTTAAGGGCTAGCGTTGTCTAGGATTACTTTTAATAATTTAGAAAAGCCACTTCAGCTCATTGTATAGCTATGCAGTACTAAGAAAGAGACAAACCCCCAGCATATGTCGATGCATTATGTAAAGACTTTCCTTGACAGGATTTAGTTACATGCAAGCTTTAAATGCAGTGTAAATGCATTTTCTGGAGTGTTAGGCCTCCAAGTGCTAAAAGTACTACAATACCAAACTGCCAAAAAGGTGATTTTACATCACACAGTAACGGACTTTAAAAAGAGAAATGAGTCATGCACTTCAGTGACAATATCTTAATCTATGCAGCCGTGATCAAGTCAGTCACAAAGTGGTGCTAGCAAAATCTTCCTTAAAGTCCTGTTCCAAAAGCTGTCAATGTTTTCACAGTAAAGGAAGTGGCTGTCCTTAGAATAAAAATGATACTCCAGACAGTGTTGTTTCTACCCCTGTTAAAAAAGCTTCAGCTACATGGTGAATAACAGTAGGAAAAGTTCAAAGTCCTATAAAATCCCACACTGAGGATGAATGCAGAAGAGAGGTGAGGTGTTCTGGGATATTCTCTCTTCTTTTACTTCAGTCTTTGGGGAAGAAGAGGGTCGTTTCTACAGTATCAAATTCCACATTCACAAAATAGATAACCATAAGCATACAGCAACACAAGAAATTTACAAAAATAGTGTGGCCCCCACCGAATCTAGTGGAAATACAAATTGCTAGAGTCATTGCTTGTCTCTTCCTTATACAGCTTTTATGCATGTGGTAGGCTCTGATCTTGCTCTGCTGGTCCTATGCTGCCATCGCAGAATGAGTCAAAGTTACCCTGGCAGTTGTCAATAAAAACAGTAGAAAGTCAGATGCAGGAAATAAGACTCTGCCTCTCTTGTGTGCAGATGCTTTCAGGGGAGACTATGTTAGCTGAAATGGACGAAGAAAACAAAACAAAACAAAACAACAGCTTATCAAAGACTTGAAGCAGTTAGTTGAATTAAACAATTCCAATCACTTCCTATTTTTTTATTTTCCCATGATATACAAGAATACTTCTGTTTTGTGCACGGCTGTACTCAGTTGCTCTTTTCCTAGCTCCCTCCTCCTGACAGGCAATTGCTGTTGAACATTCCCATATGAGCTGGAAGATGTCAGGAAATCTTACTGGTCATTGGTGTATGGGAGTATCCAGATTTGTGGAAGGAAAAGAAAAAAAAATAAACACACCATCAGTGCAACTGATAACCACCAGGCTGGGTTTAGGTATGTTGGTTGTTCGCACTTCTTGGAAGACTTTTTCACAGCAACCATCTACAGATAATAAAGGAGGTCTTTACTTAGACCACTCCAACATGTAAGAACAAATACATTTAATTTCAGCTTGCTGGAAGCAGGCAAAAATAGAACACTGATTACCCTTTTGTTTTAGTTTTTCAGTTCCTTCTAATTTTTATAGTCTGTGGTCTCTGAAGTCATATACTTCCTTTTCCCTTGTTTCTCAAGACCACTTTTTCCTCCTCTTTCCTCTGGTTCATGCTTGTAGTCTTGCTTCTTTTTATTCTGTCAAACTTAACAGGGGCTCTCCTAAAGCAGCTGAACAGCACTGTCATATTCTGATGCTGTAGTTACTTACACAGGTTATCATGGAAGAATCACCTTTACACTATGCTAACAGATGCCTAGTGCCATGTTTTACATCCCTACTCATGCATGATGATGGGAGATATTTAGCAAAATATTATAACTAATTTCTTACCAGGCAGAGTTATACCTTCTGAGCTATGAAAAGCATCCAGATCCATTATTTCTATTACTCCAGTTAAGTTCTGCAGTAGGACAAAGTGTATCATTAGCAGTTGAAAAGGCAAGAGTTAGTTAGGGTTAGGGAATATTTTTTTGTTTTTAGGAGTATTTTGGATTTAGAAAACAGGAGAGAGGGAGTCTAAGATGTTAGATGTGGCTCTTCAGGTAGCAGCCCCAGCTCCTTGGTTATGCACATAGGCAGAATGTTAGCAGAACCACATTTCTGCTGCAGCCTCTGTGTTTAATTAGTTAATTAATTATAGTCCCTTTAGTCCACCTCCTCACCTGTGTTATCAATTCACCTTTATTTCAAGCTTCAGTTATCATGACCCTTCTAGTTCTTCTGATCAAAAAAGTTTTAAAAATTAGGCCTTTGGGAAAAATCTTCTCCAGGAAACTTTTTAATTCTGGTTTATTCTTCACTTGGAACAGGGTCTGCAAAACCAACTTAGACCTATTACTCTCTTCTTCACAGAACCACACATTCTTTTTGATAGCCTTTAACAGTGACAGTGCGATGGAGGCACCACACCAGGCCTTTGCCCCTTGTGCACAAGCTTGCAAACCTAAAACAGGACCTTAACAAAAAAAAATTTAAACATTGTAACTCCACGGTGTATGTCATTATGATATACTGAATGCAAGGCAGCTGTTCCTAACAGATTTGACATATAACAGGGGTAAAGTAATTTTACACAAATCATTATGTTCATTATATTAAATTAATAGATTAAAATTAGTCAGCGATGCTTTGTAAGACCATCTTACCCATAGATCCCTTTATCCTTATAATCTAAGGGTTTGGGATTTTTTTTCTCCTCAATATTCTGTGCAGAGAAGACATAAATGCCCAGATCACTCAGAGTATAAGCCCTAAATTCATGGATGTTGAACTTCTTCCAATATAAGCATCTGAAGGAAAGGCACTTTTCTTCAGATGCTTACATCAGAAATATAAGCATCTGGAAATGCTTATATTTATAACAGAAATAGAAAATGACATAATTCTTTTCCTGATCTTTTGAAGAGCGAATGAATTTTTTTTTCCATCCTATAGGAACAGATTCTGGACTAATTTTTCCTGCTAAAGGCTTTAAAGTCCAAAATTCGTCAAACATCTTGTCCTCAGAGACAATGTCATCCAAGTTCAAAGGATCTATAGCCCTGTAAAATTGATATCTTATTTCAGAGCTAATGACTTTGTTTTCATTGAATGTTTGATTTCATCAAATTAAACCACTTCTTACACTTTCTATAAATGTGCCAAAAAGTAGAAGACAGAACCAAACCTCTCAATTCTCTGAAAAAGGGCACTCATATACACACATATAGATGTACATATATATCATATACATTCAATTGGTATGTTTTTCTGTCTAATATTATTCCAGGATAGATTTACTGTAGATTATGTGGGTTTTCATACGTTATTTGAAGTGCTTTTCAATTGAAAATAGTAATCTTTGAAAGCATTTGTTTTAATGAACATCATTATAATTAAGAGCATGATTTTCATAACTAAATATAAAACGATTTTTTTTCAAGTGAAGTCTGGATGTGATTACTGATGGAGGAACTTCAAGATCTTTTTTTTTGCTAAGCATTTCAATATTCATTCAGGAAAATGTCAGAATAACAGACTGCAGCATGTGATTTGGGTGATTCTTTATTTTTCTGTGGTTTTTATCATTTCAGTTTTAATATCCAGTTAAAGCAAGAAATTCTGGATAAAATATGAATACTAACGAAAATGAATGGGATTTTCTCATCAATTCAAGAGTCAAGTTCCACTGTTTTTTAGTATGCCACTATACATGGTGTACGCCGTTACCTTAATAAGCTGTATTTGCACAACTATATATTAAATAGGATACAGTATAGGAAAGCAGGTAGCATAATCAACAGTTAGATTCTAGAAAACAAATGTGAGGTTTCAAAATGCACTTTAT